TTGATAGGAAGGAGTAATTATTGAATTATTATAATCTTTTGGAACGAATGTACGTTTTTCCCTATATCAGGAAACGAAAACTTTTTAACCCTTTGCCAATAATATTGTCACGAATTTTCTCTTCCCTGGGCCTTAGGAGAGTAACTGGATGTACAAAGGGTTATATCAATATTTTTACGGCAAGCAGAGTAAGTTAACATTTGGAGGTCCGAAACTCGAACCTCGGTAAGGCTATTGCTCATTTTGTACGTTTCTTGCTGCAAAATAAACCTAATGGTTCTACAGTATGTGTCACGATACTCTGGCTTTTGGAACCTCTTCTTAATATTTGAAAGCCCACCAGTGGTCCAGCGGTAAAGCCGCTGAATACTGGTAGTTCGATCCGAAATTCGAATTCCGTAAACGTGTTGGCTGCTGGCTGGCTTTTCGTGTTTTCCCAATGTGTAACGTGTATACGAACCAATTTCCCTTAGCAAGTCGCCCACAAAGGCATCCCTCCCCTTAAGAAGATAGCCCCGGAAGTTTTGTCGTAATCACTTAAACCAAACCAAACCAAACCAGTCTTATTATTTGAATTTCATATCAAGAGGCAACTGGAGAAAAAGTGTTTTTGACATTCAAACATTCAGCAACACACATTTTCTTTCATTACATCAACTTTTCTGTACATTTCATGTTTCTCAAGTCAAATTTCCGAAAGAAAAATTTTCCTCCCAGAAGATTTCTCACAAAGTATTTTTCGCTAAGCACCAAGAATAACTAAAAATCTATAGAAGACATGATCACGATTTAAAGAAGGCATGATCAACTTCACTAGCGTAATTTAACTCACTGAAGTAATGTCCGAATCAATTAAAAATATATTCTTTAATGCGATCAAAAACATTTAGGGCAAAACTTCAAAAAGAAACCAATCGCAAATCGGAAAATAATGCCAGAAAACTTATCTTTTAACATTCGATCTACACCTACTCAAATAAATAGCTGTTTCGAAGCGAACGGAAGGTCAAATCACCGAAGCGGTGCATAAATCTAACCGATTTTGTCTGATCTGCGTTTTTAGAAGATGAGCGATGTACTCTATTGAAAGCCGCTTCGCCTCTGAGCTGCATTCCGTTTTCAGGTGTAACGAATTTTAAGCACTCCTTTTAAGCTACGACAGAATTTTATAGTAGACATTTTCATCAAGTATCAATAGTTTTCTTAAAAAATTCAGTTAGGTTAAACTTATATGCAGTATTAAATGCTCATTTCTAAGCAGGAAATCCTGAAGCAAAATAATAATATAAAAAATAGTGACTTTAATAATAACATCTGTAATGCAGAATTAAAGAACCGAACCATAAAAGTTTGTATAATGAGATACATTCCGATGACCTCAGAGATCACGTGACTTATGTATAGCTAATGTAAACAACAAGGTCATTCTTCCTCTTTCTTCTGTTGCAGAATGTATCTCATTGTTTGTAAGTTTGTTACCCGGCATGCGTTGTAGTGTTACTTAAAGTGCTTGTGTTTTAATTCCGTTTATTGAAATGCTTTTGGATACACAATATTTTTTTTTCCATCTGGTGAGAGCAATTTCACTTTTCTACCAACATAGCAACATTCCTGGAACTTCATTCTTAAATTTGAAGGCTCTGTAATACAATATATATCCATCTTTCCAACGACCACACTTGGATGAAGACTGTAATCATAATTAGCATCGTAATGGAATGCACCAAGATTTAAATTCACGTTCGTTCGTCTGGATCGAGCAGTGCGTACTCTAATACGAGTGAGGTTTTCCCGGCTTGCTTCCCTTTGCTCGTTTGTTTCAGACGAACGGGCTTGAGCAGTACACACTCAAACGTTTTCCGGTCTTGCTTCCCATTGCCCGTTGTTTCTGAAGCTCGTGATGCCCGTTGTTTTTTTCATCGGGCTTAAGGTGAAAATCCAGCAATAGACTTTCGCTTTAGTGGCATAATTGATTTCACAGCAAAAGTAACGCTTTGTGACGAGTATTAGAAGTTCACTTTCAAAAGCAAAGAAAATGCGTGTGATGCAATAACACGCATGCTGATGCGTGCGTGTTATTGCGTGAAAAATTAAATATTCCCACGCTTTGCTGAACGATAACACACTTTGAAATATTTTAATTTGGACAGGCTACACATTTCTCTTAAACAGCCGAGTTTCTTAATGAATTCGAGACAAATTAATATAATTGCGTTTTCCCGAGTGGCAAGACAAATTTTTTTATATCGCCGAGTATTCTGATTAAATTTGAAACATATATATCTTACGCTTTTGTAGAGTGGCAATGCAAAGCTTTCAGATTGCTGAGTTTTTAATCAGAAGTTCATTAAATTCGCGTAAAATATATGTATATTGAAATTTTTTTGAAAAAAGTGAACGTCAACCCAGAAAAGAATTGTAACGATAGCTATAGTAGTGACTGACGGTATCGCGAACAAACAAACACACAAACAGACATTCTTCTTTATATATATAAGATTTATATATTTATATCTCATGCATACTTTATCAGCAAATGTGATTTTGTTTGAGTAAAAAAAAAGAAAAAAAAAAGATATAAATATGTTTAAAAAGTTAGAAACTAAGAGTTTAATCTTAATACTAACCACTTTTCATAATTTAATCTGGAAACAACGAAAGAAATTTATCACTACAATTTAGATTGGTTCTCGTTTTAAGCAGCAAAGTTTCAAATTAAATCACGATCTCGGTATTCATAAATCATTGTTTGAAAGAACAATTTTTCGGGAGAAAAGCCTCGCCAGCTTTTAACGATTTCCATATGCATGTCAGCCGCAGAAGTATTTATTATTGATTGATCGCTGTTTCTGAATAAATAAAAATATTACTGACAAGAGTTTGATTTTAATATCAGTTGGGTTTTGATTTGAGATTTAGAAGCTAAATACCACAATCACAAGGCTTGAAATAATTAAAGCGAATTCATTTTCATCTGAAATTGATGGCAGTTCCATATTAAAGATTCTGAATTTCCCGTTTGATAGTTTAAATCTTATGATTCTGAGAAATTTGATTAATACCGAGTGTAACTGATTCTCTTCAAATTTGAATTTTCAGTATATTTTTCATACAGGTGTTTTCCTTCACGAAAATTATCTGAGTATTTCTTTAGAAGAAATATACAAAAGACTTAAATTACACACAAAGGAATGTCTGAAATCTAAATATAAAAATGTTTCTCCGCTCATCATAACATAAATATTGATAGAATTATTAAAACATCAATGAAAAAAGAATGGGTAAATATTAATAAATATCGAATCAAAATTAGAGATTTTTTAGTGTTACATGCTAAAAATTATTCAGAAGGTTGAAAAATTTCTAATTTCAGCTGTTTTGTAATATTGTTTCATGGAGAGAGAAAATCGAAACATCAAATGTGTCTTTCTCGGGAGTTCGAGTATATCTTCCATTTGCTAGCTGGATGCATCAGCATTTACATCATCAGAGCACGTGAGAGAGAATGCAATAATTCCTCACATTCTTTCCCAATTAAAAGACGACAGAGGAGAGACACGAGACTTAGTTGACCAAATACAAGCGATGATGAATTATCATCTATCTTAATTTAGTTAAGGCTTCTCTGCAGGGAAAATGCTAAGACCTCAGGAGCAAAAAAAATGGCAAAATTAGTTGGAACTTCTCCGGGATTCTAATCACTGATCTTTCAACTGTTTTGATCATTTACATTTATACCTCGACATCATACATGGAAGAATGCTATAATTCATTGTAATGTAATTACGAATGACATACATGTGCAAGGAAAGAAATAATTTTTTCTAATAATTGACAAATAATTAACTTCTTAATACCGTATTTACTCGCTTATTTTTCTAAACTAACTGCATATTTCCCCCCTTAGCTTTTTAGAATAAGTATTTGAAAATTTTTAATATTCACGTAATTTTCTCCTCCCTCAAGACGTTCAGAAAGCGAGCTCCCTTAAATTTTAAAATGGATTCGTCTACCTAGTGACAGCATTTACCTTACAAATTACTAGGGCGTACCAGTGACCGATCGGCAAAATCGTTGAACGCAGGTAGTTCAGACCTGGGTTCGATTCCAGGCAAACAGGTTGGCTACATGAGCGTTTTCGTAGATTTCTGCATGTGTAACATGCATTCGAGCCAGCTTCCTTAGAAAGTCCTCCGCGAAGACATCCGTCTCCTCAGGTAGTTAGCTCCCGCATGCTTTGCTATAATTAAATAAACCAAACTAGAATAATCCAAATTATTAAATGATTTGCTTGGGAATTTTGGGCCTAATGGACTCTAACAATAATAGCGAAAAGCTTAAAAAAAAGGTGATATATAATGTCTTGTTGTAATTAAGATGATTTCATTTAGAAAGATAGACTGAACTATGATGGATACTTTGACAGTGGTAAGAGCGACGACTTGCGAGCTGTGGCAGATGGTATAGACATCAGTTTCAGCTGCATCAAATGATCTGAAACCCAGGAAGTAGCTGTGGACGGCAATAAAAGCACTCGAGATTTAAGATACTGGGAATATAAATGAAGATATTTTGTTAGATATTTTAAATTTATATTACTCCTTATTGTTACTAGAATGTAAGTTTCATTTAAATAAATACTATTGTGATACTTGCCGATAGTTTATTCATGAATTGTTTTCATTTGTTATTTTTTACTGTACTCATGACCTACGGATATGATTAAATATTCGTGTAATTTTCTCCTCTCGACATTTGTACGATAAAATTAGTAAAAAAAAAAAAGGGGGGGAATACCCAAGCAAATACGGTAATTAATAATGTTATGTACTTCTGATATTATTATTTACCGTATTTACTCCCTTTTCTTACTAATTTTACTAATGCCAAGTACTTCAATAAAACTAGTTTCAGATACGCTTTGAGGATTAGGCTGTGAACAGGTTTTTAGATTTTTAGGTTGTGAACAGTTTTAGATATCTTAGCAGCATTCGAATCACCTGTAATAGGATTTGAGTTTTCTTCATCTTTTTCCCACGTCAAGTGAATAGAAGAAGCGGTGGTAGCAACTACGCGGAGCACAGGAGCATTGGGAGGATCTGTAAGCACATGAATTTGAAATGAGAATTCGTTTTTCGAAAAAAAGAAAACAAACAAGAGAATTTATATAGATATTAAACATGACATCAGTAAGAAATTTCAGCGGGTACTTCCTTGTTAAAGCGACCACCATGTTTAGTCGCCAAAAGTGTCAAAACTAAATATGCCGTTTTGTAATGTGTAAATCTTAAATATAGGCTAAGGTTAATAATACGGTGACTTTAACAAGGAGGTATCTTTAAATGACAGTAATTATTGGTTTATAATGTTCTCAATAAAAAATCTGATGTGTACACCACATGACTTCCTTGTACGGAATATTAAATTATACGCATTTTTTCTTGGATTTTATTTAAACTTATCAGATTAAATTAAAACTACTTCGCCGAAGCGCATTAACCACAATAGAATAAATGCATTCTTTAAAATTCAGTTTGTTTACCATAGCGACACTCTGGCGCTAGGTTTACTTACAGTATATATATTTCATTCATATATAAACTCAGAATGCACAAAATTTATATCATTTAAAGAATAGAATATCTAAATCGTTGCCATATGTTCTATTCAAATCCATAATAAAACAAAGCTAGTATGATGTATAAAAGAAATTAAGATATAAAACAAAAACGAACAGTTTTTCCACAGACGATTGAGTATTTCTCATTCAATTATTCAGTCTCACTTCGCGAAGGCAAACATAATAAAAACTCAAAATATCTATAAAAATTACGAAAGTAAATCTTAAACACATTACTCGAAAAAATTCCAGAAAGGATTAAGAATGATTAATTGGCAATAATAAATGAAAGGCGTTATCTTTGTTGTTGCAAGCTAAGTTTCTCTAGATTGGCAACAAATCCATTAGTCTCCTGTTTCAAATGTAAACATCAATGGCCGCCATTAAAAACAGGTTAGCGGCAATTAAACAACTTTAAAATTGCTGATAATTCTAAAAATATTGCACAGATTTACTAAAGGCATAAAATCCTTAACCGGAAGATTAAAACAACATAATTCCATCATTTTAAAGCAAAAAAAAATACAATTTACAACATATAAGAGTAAAGAAACTGAGATCACTGAGCCGGGTAATAGAGTGGATATATATATATATAATATATAATATATATATACCTTGGTGCTCGCCGATTGCAACCAAAATACGAGGTGCAAATCTACATGTTTATAGCAGTCCTATATACAAAATTTCAAACGTTCTGAGGCTATTCGTTTTTGAGTTATGCAGATACGTACGTACGCACGTACGTACATACGTTCGTTACAGACGCCACGAAAAATTCTCTTCAGAATAATTTAAAGCAGTTTTATAATTTTTTTTTGAAGGAAAAGAGTATTTTATTCTGTCCTTACGTACAGATATGACGCAAAAACATCGTTAAATTGCATTCGATATCGGTCAAAATGGATATTTCCGTTGAAATAAATGCCTGAAGCTTTTTGCGATTACAATACTTCCTTTTTACTTAGTACAAGGTAGTAAAAAAATAAGACAAAAAAGCTGCTGTAACTTTTGTTCGTACTCGAATAAAAGTGTGTAAAAAATTATAACAATAAAATGTTCTTATTTTTATTGCTATTCTTGTAAATCTGCAAAAGATATTACAGGGTTACAGGTCACATTTTTAGTTTTTACGTTAGGTTCATAAAAAAAAGAACATATCTTTAGAAATTAAAAGCATTAGTGTAAGATAGGAATTAAAAGCATTAATGCAAGATAGAACTTGAAAGAATTGTACGCATATACCGAATAATGAAGTTAATATATTTCTAATAAGTATTGCAAAAAGTTTGAGAGTTTCTTTAATTTATATATGGAGGGCCACAGTTTCTGACTGCGTTGGTGTGTTACTGTAGTTTTCCTAATATTATCGTTTGTAAAAATGCTTTACTGATCAAAATAAACTACCTTACGAAACCTCGCTCCAGTTAAATGACTTGTCAAGCAAAATACCAAGATCAAATAACGTAAACTCTTACAAAACCAGCCTGAGCTAATAGAAGGTATATTCATGACAGTATAGAGTGAGGAGGTGCACCCTGGCAGATAAAAGAATATTAATTATTTTCCTCCTCAAATTTCTTGAACTCTTTTGAATTAATATAATATCTTACTTGAATTGAGCTAGAATTGGAGCTTCAAAATTATTTCTTCTTACTTGCTTTCTTCGTTACCATGGTAACAATAGCTGTGACAGGCTAGTCTTTTTTTTGTTCCACTTAATTTCCGTTTAGTGTGTTTTGCATCGTGAAAAGCGTGCGAATGAAGGCGGCTGACTTGAAGTTCAGTCTCAAATGAGATGGACAAAGTAAGTGCTGTGATGATGAAACGATTACGATCATAAATGAAAGGTAGTCATAAATACCTTGAAATATTGATTTTAAGGTAACAGCCTTATTTGAGTTTTGAAATAATTAAATGAATTGCGGTTAATCTCTGTGTCTGTAATTAGTGTCATCAAAGAAACTAACTGTACTTAGAGATTTATCAGCTACCTAAAAGTATCAGTCTTGATACGTTGGAGTGAGAAGTCTGGCTGCAACTGTACTTAGAGATTTATCAGGCCAACTAACTGTACTTAGAGATTATCAGTCTTGACCTAACTGTACTTAGAGATATCAGTCTAAAAGTTTATCTTGATACGCTGGAGTGAGAAGTCAGCAACTAATTTTATGCAACTAACTGTACTTAGAGATTTATCAGCTACCTAAACGTATCAGTCTTGATACGATGGGGTGAGAAGTCTGCAACGAATTTTATGAACCGTGCTCTGTCTCATAACCATAAGCAAAGACTTTTATTTCATTGTGGTTATAGCTTTAAATATTACATCATTTTTTCATACGGCTCTAAAAAACTCGCTTTATTTAAGAAGCGGAAGAACAACTAGAATGGTCATAAAACAGAAAGAATTTTTTGATTCAAATAAAAGAGTAACAAAATATTTAAAATACAGAGAAACAAAATATTTAAAATACTGCTAGAATACATATCAAAACTACATACGACTAAGTTATATCAATTCCAATTTTAGGATTTCAAAACAAAACAACTAGCGGTCATCCTACCGTACCAAACTCTAGCGTCTGGACCTGAACTTCGTCCGATGGAGGTCCAGCTCCTTTGTTGTTGAAGGCTTGGACGATAACTCTGTATTGAGAGTTCGGACTTAAATCGGACATTTCACATTCCAGCATTTTTCCATCAGAAGTTTCCAGTGTTTTGTACGCAAAAGGATCTCCTGGATGACTTTTGTAACCAACATAGTAACCAGTAACTGGAGACGAACCCTCTTCTTCCAAAGGTGGCTATTAATGAAATTATGGTGCAGAATGTGATAGTTTGAATTAATGAAAATTGTTATACATGTAAAAGAAAAAGTTCAGATTTTGGATGCAATTATTATTCTATGAAAATATATAAAAATAATTCTAAAAAATATACATTAGCTTAACATGTGTTGTTCATTGATTAAGGATCCTTGCTGGGTACAGATACCCGAGGTAATGCGAACTTGCGCTAGTTCGAAAAATTTTGAATTCAGATAATGCAAACCGATGCAATAACGGATAAAGTAAAATTCAAATGGTATTAAAATAAGCTAGTTTGAGTAATCTAAAGTTCAGATTACGCGAACATAAGTTCATTCAGGTAATTTAAAATTTAGATGATTTGAATATGAGCTTCCTTGGATACTTTAAAATTCAGATAATGGGGATTGATCCTAGCTGCAGGTATTCCAGGTAATTTAAAATTCGAATGAAACGAAAAGGGAAGACATTTCGGATAAGAAGTTAAGGATGCCAAATATCGCTAATTTATATGGTAAAACACCTTTCAAAACCTTCCTTTGCATTTCGGTGAATCTGTATATTACGAACAAAAAATACACGTTAATTATTGCTGTTAGTATGTACTGTTATTTTAAGGATATTGTAATCTTAAGACTTAGAGTCTGCAAAGTTTAGCTTGAAAAATGTAGACCAGACACTAAAAGCTCTTCAAAACTACGTTTTTAAACGATAAGAGAATGTAGTTGCTTTTATGTACCTTGTTGACAAACGAACAACTGCATGCAGTCTTGAACTAAACCTGTTCTACAGGTACGTATACATAGTAGACTCATTTTCATTAGTTTGAAAGCTATATCGATGTTATATCGAACGAAACTATATCGACGCTATATCAAACTAAGTCAATAAGTTTGAAGTTTAACTGAGATTGGAGATTTAAAATTTAATTTATTTCAATGCTTTTCGATACATACCTGCTGGATAGATAAGTACTATCAGTTAACAAAGTTTGTGCGCTGTAATAAATTTTACTAAGTAAGGAAATTAAACTTAATATGAGATCAAATAGGCGTTGTTGAAAGGAACTGACTTTATAAGGTGTTTCTCCCACTTTCCTAGCGTGCCTTCGTGGTGTAGTGTTTCTGGACGCTGGGCCGGTATTCCATTCCAGAGGTCCGTGGTTCGATTCCCTGCGAAGGAGATTGCTCATTTTTTATCTTTCCTGCTTCCAAAAAATAATCTAATGTCTCTGCAGTGGAGCTGGAACTAAAAGGATGTTGGATGAGGTTTCACCACACCCAGGATTTGGCGATTGGGTCCCCTGAAAACCCCAGTCGCCCTTTAAAAAGGGAAGCATAAAGTATTTCTTCCACTTCCCTAGCGTGCCTTCGTGGTGTAGTGGTTCTGCACACTGGGCCGGTCCTTCCAGAGGTCCGTGGTTCGATTCCCGGCGAAGGCGGTTGCTAATTTTGCCCCTTGCCTGCTTCCGAAAATGTCTCAACAACTTCTGCAGGCAAAATTAAAGGTGGCAAGATAAATGAAAGTTTGAAAGAGGGAGGTGAGTTTGGAGAGAGTATGTGACAAGATACTACTAAGAACATGCAACGCTAATTAGCTACTTTGGGAGGGGCTTTTAGTCATAGACCTTAGCTACGTGTAACTTTACATTAGTAAATGATGAAGGGTAACAAAATTATTTTGCAATAAATTGTTAGGGCTTTGAACGTTGATCGTTTATAAAATGGTTTTCCATAGCTGTTCATTTTCTTAAAGTGCAATATTCTGCAGTCGAGAAAATGGCAAGAAATATTAACTCTGTTCAGTACTTTGGATATACAGTTTTGATGAAGTTTAAACAACTAGTTCGTAAGTCCTTATGTAGAATTTCTATTTGAGTATTGCATCTTATTAAAGAAACAGTGTATTATACTCATAGGTTTGGCCTCAGGTAGAATGGAATATTAGTTAATCAGGATTGTATTATATATAGTAAAGTCCTTCATGGGGCATCCCTACTTTTCCATGTAGGGCCAAATGGCGGAGCACCTAATTAATAAATAAATAAATTAAAAAATACTGCATATAATTAGAAACAAAATATAAAGTTTGGATTTTATTGCAACCTCGGTCAGTAATGCAGAGTAAAATGGGAAATGAAATCAAATTAATTCAATTAATTAATTAAAATTAAAATTAAAAATTAAGTGCTTATGTCAGTAAACCTCGAATTAACATAATATATGTTACAGTTAATTTAGGAATAGATATGATAACAGAGTTTTCATTCAGTAGTCCTTAAGCTCAATATACAAGATTCTTGAAAAACAAAAAGGGCAAATTATAAAGGTAAAAACTGGAAAACATAATTGTAATTTAGCCATATTATTATATTAATTGATTTATACTTCTTCGTTCAAAGATAATAACTGGTAATTCAAAAAACGACGAGATTGTACTTGGAGCCTTATTTGATGAAAAATCTAAAGTCAATATAAAAAAAAAAATCTTCTTGAGTTAACTTAATCAACTGAAATAGCATTAACTTTTGGCACGTTTTTATATCGGAAAAGAGAAATTATTTTATTTTCCTTATTTAGGAAAATAGCTTATGAATATATTTGCACTGTGTTTTTTCCTACCAAAAAAGAGAAATTTATTTTATATTTCGTCTTATTTAAAAATAGCACTTATAAACACATTTACAATGTTTTTTTCATATCGAAAGACAAAGTATTTATATACCTTATTAGAAGAAAATTTATGAATACATTGCACGTTATTTCATACCGAAAAAGAGAAAGTTAGTAGTTAATCGAGGTTACTGACAATAAGCAATTAAATTTAATTTGAAATTAATTAATTTATTTTATTGAATAATTTGATTTCATCCCATTTATCTGCAGTACGACCGTGGTTGCATAAATCCAAACTTATATTGTTTATTTCTAATTATATGCAGTATTTTTTAATTTATTTATTTATTAATTAGGTGCTCCGCCATTTGGCACTACATGGAAAAGTAGGGATGCCCCATGAAGGACTTTACTATATATAATACAATCCTGATATTTCCCCTTTAAAAATACTTTAAAATACTTTATATTTCCCCTTTAAAATATTTGTTATAAGCAACGCTTTATTTTCTAACATCTTAAATTGATATTAAAATCTATTCTTGAAATCAAGCTTTGTAGATCTTTGATGTGTAGTAACCAAGTACGTGTGTAAGAAAATTACGCAATTTTAGTTAAATAAACTAAATGGTTAAAACATTGAGCACATGCAACTGAAAATAAAATCGTAGTACTGCAAATGCAATTGCAAAATCGTAGTACAGGAAATGCAAATGCAAAATCGTAGTACAGGAAATGCAAATGCAAAATCGTAGTACAGGAAATGCAACTGCAAATGCCATTGCAAATCTGCAATGGCAAATTTTAAATCAAAATTATCAAAGTGAAATTTAAATGAATTGAAAAATTAAGATATATATATATATATATATATATATAATATAGATATATAGATTAATAATTACCATATTATTTCCATAATTTCACTTCTAGCCTTCCTTAAAGTTAATATCGCGATACAATTTTTAATTGAACTGATCAAGAGTAGTATGATAACAAGAATACTTCGTTCCGTTGTTTAATTAAAAAGTGTTTAATAAAAAGTGTTTAATTAAAACTGAGTTATTTAAAGAATTTATGTGTTTTATTTTACTCTTTTTAGTTTACAAAGATGGGAAAATAGAAAAGAAACAAAATCAGTGATTCTGTTTGAAGTAAAGTTATTCATTGGAATAAGTGTAGCAGTGAAAGTATGTGTGACATCATATTCTTTTCAAGGCCTTTCAAACTAGCCCATGCTGTAAGTTTATCTTCACTTCGTTTAAACTTCTTTTCGGCTTCGAAATCTGATCTCAGCTTCTCTTAAAATTGTGGTACTGCTAACAAATCTTTTGTTTTAGTTTTCCACCTTATTCTACAATAGCAAAAATAAGAATATTTCCTTAAATCTACTAGAATTAAATAAGTTAGGTAAAAAATTCTAAATTCTTTTGAAAGTTTATTCTTTTTTAATCTATCAGACAGTGCAAATTTGATCTATCCATTAATTAATTCTATTGTTAAGTGGGAACATGTGAGAAAAATGCAACACTAGATTTAAAAAGTACGTAAAATCTTTTAAAAATTTTTTTTGCAAAATATTGTATTATCATCGTATGAAAATTGGAAGTTGATTCTTAAAAGAAATAACAAATTAATTTCAAAATTTGATTAAAATGAACATACCTACCAAGAGACATAAAAACTAAGCTAAATAAACCCGAGTAAAAATGTTTGACAATTAAAAAAAAACCTTTTGAAACTAAATTTGTACACTGTTTACTTTCGTGAAACATAACTAAAACGAGCCTACATTAAATAGAATGTAGGAAATACCTTCCAAGTTACTTGAATTCGTCTAGAGCTTGTTGAAATAGCCCTCACATCGCGTGGTGGTCCACTAGGAGCTAAGCGAAAGAATTAAATTTTCATTAGAAGATAAAAAAAGTAACATAAATTGCTTTTAATATATATTTTACTTAGCAGAAAGGATTTTAAAATCTCCCTGAATGAATTATGTATGAACTAACTCGACAAATACTCGCTTTACATGAGGAAAAAAAAAACATCATTCATAATTTCTAAAACTAAAAATGCGAGTTCTATGCTAGAACTGGAATAATTATATTTTAATCAAAAAGTTAAGGAAAATATACAATTATCACACGACTATCCGAAGAATTATATATCAATTAAAGGAATTTTTAAAGAAATGAATTTATGATTATTCTACGATAAGGGAAAAATATTGAAGAAACTAATTTAAAAGATTATACAAATTACTTGAAAATAGTCCTTTAGTTAATAAGAAGACAATAAATGAAGATAAATATTAAAGGAAAATTCTTTATCAATGGTTTACGATTGTAAACCATTACCATGGAATTTAATTGTTTACCATTTTACAATCCTTAATTTTCTCTTTTGACATGTCTTCCTTAGCTTAAATGGCAATTAATTAAAATTCTCTTATTTTGAAAATATGTACAGTATTTTACATAAAAGTACAATTAAAAATTTCAGAATATAATTATTGGTTTACATATTTTACTTATGCAAAATCTAGAAAATATTTTTGTGCCTAATCTACTCTTCGTTTTATTTATTTAAAGCATTTTTATTCTAATGATCTGATCAATTGCCATATTTTGGAACGTACTACCAAAGTTTTCCATTTTTGGTAAGCAGAGAATCACAGTGTCTTCTGTTAGCCGCCTAGATTTGGATGCTTGATTTTTAATATGCCCACAACTTTAACACATAAAAATTAATATATATATATATATAGAAAATGCCAATAAATTACCCCAAGAAATGTAAAAAAAATCTAACGCTTTCAGATTTTACATTACGTCCAAAGGATCTTTTTTTTAACCGTTTGTTTGTTACCTTTATTTATTAAACATCCTGTTCCATTAAATTAAATTCAACAGCAATATCGCAAAATAATTTAAAAGTGAGCATACCTTTGGAATTTCCGATATACAGTCTCGCGAGCTGGAGATAAAAATGTCTTTTTTTTCGTGCAGTGATGCCACTGCTCGCTTTGAAATCGTTGAGTTTGTTAATCAGAAATTCCTTAAAGTGTTACAAAATATGAAATCGATAATAACACAAATTTCAAATTCCAAATTATAGCTTCCAGATGCTCATATTCGGTGGAAGATCATGTTATTCAAAATTTGATGGCTCTAGGTACCGTTGTTTTATTACAATGTGAGAAGCAAACATACAATTATGCAGATTCTTCGTTATTTAATGTCTTTAAATATAACACAGAGCGATAATATTTTGTGGCAACAATTTGAAAAGTGAACCGACGCAAAATGCCGAAACGAAACTAATAACCCATCTGGGGTAACGCCTTTTGGGCTATAAGTGACTATAAACATATAAAAGACATTTAAGGAGAGAAATATTTGCAAGAAAAATTAATATTTCTCTTTAACCTTTTGATGACCATCAACGAGCTCAGCTCGCATTCCAGTTACAAAGGAACACAACTCGCATTACAATTATACGATTGACAGATGTTTTGCATACTTGGAAAGAAAGAATTGTTTCATCTCGTAACCGCCGAAGGGTTAAAATTATTGTAGAGATGCTCAGATAAATTAAGAGATACTTGCAACATAATTATATACTTCCTATTAGTAATAATTACATAAATTAATGAAAATTTTGAATTTAAATTTTTGATAGGAATATAAGCATTCGTAGTTTTTGCGTTATTGAAGTAGTATGAATACATCTAAAAGTTTGTAAAAGAATCATCACTGTCTCCAGTGCGAACGTTTGTGATATTAATCCAGTAAGTACGTTTAGTTAGCAATTGGAAGTGCCCGTTGTTCCCCATTCCATGATCCTAAAAGCCTAATACATTTTAATTATTTTCTTTCACATCTGAGGTATAATTTTAAAATATCAGTTACACACACACACACACACACACACAAAACAAAACAAAACAAAAAAAAAAAAAAAAAAAAAAAAAAAAAAAAAAAAAGAATTTTTTTGCTTAATTAATATACCGGTTGTAAAGAATGTAAGTCTCGGTAATAAACAAACACAAAAAAATAATAGTGCACTAGCGAAAATTTTTATGATATGGTTTGCTTTATTTATCATAGTTATTAAATAATTTTGTTTATACAACGTTTCTAATTATCAGTTTATGATTCTTGTTATTTTATGTGACTAAATTGTGATTATGTTAATTATTCGATATCCAGCTATTAGTGTTATATATTTATGTATTTCTCTCCTGTTATAAAGTATTTTTATAAATAAAAATTTTTATAAATTTGTGGCGAAGCATGGCTTACGTCCGATGGTCTGATATTACTGGTTGTTCTTCTATATTTTATTATACTTTAAATTTATTCAGATGGTGGTTGCAGTTATGTGTTTTATGTAATAGCTGTTTTGCATTCTTGATTTAGAAATGCTTGCGAAAGTTAAACGAAGGATTTCAATTAAATGAATTGAGCAATAATATTTTAAAATGAAAAATGTTCGGCATTAAGATTACAAAGTATGCCGAAATAGGTCAAAACAGCGGATTGCATCCCAAGTGTTTTGGTTAGACAGGGTGATTCAGAATGTCTTAGGAAAACTTTATATATAAGTTACAATGGTAAAATAGTGAACTATTTTACGCAGGAATATGTAAATGCAAACGCCTCTTGTTATTTGATAAAATAATTTGCGTTATTGTATTTTATTCGATTTAAATAGCAAACATCGTAAATTAAAAAACTGGTGCGTTGTGTTGACAAAATGTTTAACAAATGTGCAAAAGCAGGAAATTGTCATGCATTATTTTTAACACCAAATTAATCTCGATCCTCATCTTTGCATTCGTATCACTTTTGTGTATTTACCCTTTGAAAATAAAATGATGCTGAGTACTTACTTATTATCGCAACCACCTTAGTCGAATTCGAAGTCGTCAAATTTTCAAAAGTCGTCAAACTCTAGCAATGATACGCATCTTTCTTTAAGTAACCATATTCTTTGTAAGTTGCAATCCGAAAATTCACCGAATAACTTTTATTTCTCTAAAAAATCGCCAAACTGCGCCAAATTGGAGTACTAACACGTAAGTACCGAATGTGTTACCAAATTATTATCGCCATATATTATTTAAAAAATAATATAGCACACACACACACACACATATATATACATGTGCTATATTATTTTATATATATATATCCATACTATATTATTTTTATAATATAGCATAACTGCGTTTATATAGAATATCTATATCTATCTATCTATACATATAGCTAGATAGATATAGATATATAGATAATGTATAGAAATACTTTATTGGTAATTCTACAGGTACTCAGTCTTTAAAAATTTTGTGATTTTGCTGTTGAATGTTTTGTAGTGAAAGTGAAAATTTAGTAATTAAAATAATAAAGACAAAAAGTTAATAATAAAGAAACAAAAAAGTTCTCTAAGCCATCTGACTAAGAAGACTGAATATTGATATGGGGAACTGAGATATGCTACTGTTTAAAATTTTGTAATTTCAATTTTGAATTTTATGTGGCGTAAGGGAGAAGAAAGTAATGCTTCATACTATATTATTCTATACTATATTACTGTACTATATTATTATGTTTAAAAGACAATAAACAAAAACAGCTGTATCAACAGGAGTGAGTTCGAAGATAGACTGATAAACTGTGAGAGCATAAAAATTTTTTAAAAGAAACCTGTCTGGTGCGATGCTAAAATCTGAACTCTTTAAAATTTTTTTTTCATTTTACATACTTCTTTTTGATTATAATCATATTTATGTTTTGTCTGCTGCTGAAATATAAATAGTAATATTTATCTGTTTTACACACAACGATTTAGCAGACTCATTTTTCATTAAACGTGGTTAAATTTGCTCTAGCTGCAGGAAAAGCGTAGGTGGTTGCAAACAGTTGAGAAACTCGAAGATATATCTAGATTTAGAGGAAGACATATTGTGCTTTTGAAAATGCTGAAAAATTCTCTGCAAAAGTACTTACCTTCTCCTTCAGTCACGACTGTGACGGAATCGCTGAAATCTCCACTTCCAATATCATTCTCCGCTTTCACTCTCACATGATATGTAGTCTGAGGGAGAAGGCTTTGAATTGTATAGGAACTGTCTGTAGAATCTATTGTAACCACTTTTGCAAGGGACCACGGGTCTATAGAATTGGTTAGATCATATGAACTTCCAAAAACTGAAATGATTTCACATAAATGGCAAACATTTCACATATAATGAAACCTCGGTTCACGAATTTAAATCGGCCTGAAAGCAGTTTGGCAACCAAAATGTTCGTAGCTGAGCAGCTTTCCTCATAGAAATGAATATAAACTGAATTAAATAGTTCCTGGACCATAGATAATTGTTTATTTAAACTTTAAAATAGCACTGGGCACTCAAGTTTATACTATAATCCTTAACCGAAGCTATCATTAAACATAAAACTAAAACGGTAAAACACAATATTAAACAGATAAAATAAAGAAAATTTAATCTTATTATACCTATATGAAGGAGAGTGGATAGCGTAAGTGAGAAATGGTGAGGAGGATATTATTGTTTGGATGTAAAATTCCCCTTCATAAAAATGACATTTATCTGCCTTCTTCTTTTGCGTCTTTTTGTCTTCAAATGCCATTTGACTCCGAAGTGAAGTCACGGGGCGTTCGTTTCACTCAAAATTGCTGTTGCCTGTGTTTTAAAAATTTCTAAAGGGAGGTATGACACTGCCACTGAAAATGTTTGTGCTCTAGCTTGCTACTGCTTTATCGGGGCGATATCGATATATGAAAACTTTACATCTTGCCATTTTTTGCACGAGTTTCGTGGATCAGAGAAAGGTAGGATGGCTTTTTCTTACTCTTCTTTTTAAGACGTTTCTTTCCCAATTGTCTTTTGTTGCCGCTTCTGAATTTGTAATACTTTCTCGTTGAGCTAATTTTTTATGTTCCCCTTGTAACTTCTGTACGGCTTCATTGTTAACTTCCTAGCCAAAGGTTTTGCCTAGATCCACGATATCATACATAACAAAAGAAGTCCTAAGTCACAGCGCTTAAAGTCTTTGCTTGCAACCCAGTCTAACCATAATTTCTTCCATACCGAATTCATGGGCCTGTAAGTCACTTGCTGCCAGGCTTTGTTGATGAGCGCTAAGCAAAAGAAAATATTAAAATAATATTTTTAGAAGTCCCTAAGGGTTAATTATGAAATATAAATTACCTAAAAACGCTGCTGAAAATTATAAGTTGCCGACTTGAGTGTTCGTAACTTGAGATACCTTTTGTCAACCGAGGCGTTTCTTGTTCAGATAATCGGTTCGTAAAACAAACTATTCGTGAACGAGGTTTCACTATAATTAAAAATGTACTTAATACTGGAGAGATCTGAAATACGTCATACGTTTTGTTGCAAACAAAAATTAATTGAGTGGAAAATTGTAATGTAATTGGGTGGAAATTCTAATGTGTAATTAAATATTTCCAGGATTGGAATATTTACACAGAGAAGCATGATGCCGTTAAAATGGTGCAGAGTGTGACCAATATTCGACGTATTGCAACCGAACAATTTTAATTCGCGTTCAAGCATCTGTTTCTGAAGGACAATTTTGCCTAGACTATATAAATCCGTATTTGTTATCAAGTTTGAAACTTCGCGAAGGGACGAATTATTGATTTGTGTGAATGCTAAATATTCCATTTTTGAGATGATTAAAAGTGATATCAGTAATTAATTGTCGCAGCAGCATATAACTTATGACTATCTAGTAAGGCTGTTTATTATTCTGTCATCTCATTTTCGGAATTATAGCTGTCACTATTTATTTTAATTAGTAATAAGAACTGTTATATCCCCTGTGTGTGCTTTTGTAGTGTAAGTGTTTAGTACATTTATCTAACAAGACAGATGTATGGTTTGAATTATGGTGAAGACACAGTTCAGTTTTCAAGTTTCATACTCTGAAAATCCTAATGATTTCTACAGTAGCACCCAAACTAAAATGTGATAGGCGATGCACTAAAAAGTGGTACGAAGCCCTTTAAATGGGAGGAAAATGTAAGAAATTATCACATTCCTTTGAGTATACGTTGTCATGGTGTAAGTCGATTAGCTAACATTATAAGGTCCGTGGTTGAAATTCTATAGATGGCACTTTAAAATTATTCCGTTTCCTAGCTTCGAAAAATCTGGCAAGTCTCTTCAGGAGTAAACGAAATCAAATGCTGTGGACAATTATTCTTAACCTTCCAGATTTTGATTAACTGCGTAGCGGGCTGTCCGATGTTGCCATCTAAATGGAACAAAATTATTAGGGATTATCACATTTACTCGTGCGTGCACTCCGGATATAACTGGTTAGTATGTTCTAATAGAGTTTGGAAGATCCAAGTTCGAATCCCGTTATGCTTCGTAATCCAAAATCCTCTAAATCTCTTCACATTAACTGCTGACCGGTAATTTGGAATGAGTATCATTGAGTGAGGTTTATGATTAAACCTTCGATCAAATGACTGCCTGATATGCATGCAGGGCTTAATTTATATGATAAGAAGTTCCATACCTCCATGGAAGGCCATCAGAAAAGAGAAACAAAAATAAATAAATAAAATAGCAAAATATTGATAATTTAAATAGTAAAATAACAAATACCGGATCCTGCCTTCTTTGGACTCCGGCTAGAATTACAGTTTCTTTAAAAAATTAAGAAAATAGCTTAGCCGGTCTCCGGCTGAATTTAAATTCTGAATGTACAGTATAATATACCGTTCTAGAATAGATGATCATTCGTATACCAGCACACAAATAAAAAAAAAGATAAACTATTGAAGCTTCACTAATGAGATTATAGCGAATACTAGAAACAATATAAGATGTATGGATGTTTTAACATTTTATATATAGGTATTTTATATTGTTGCGTGCGTACGGATCCGTTACTAAATGAATGCACAAGTCCCATGAAAAATGAACAAAAATTTATTATTATCACAAAAATGCTTACATTTTCTCAAATTATCATGCAGTATTACAATATCTCACAGTAGTTATCTTTTAACTCTCAAATGTCCATTAGAACGTAATTCAAAGCAGCTAAAGAACGCTAATCGGCGAATTCGCTACAATCAACAACAGTAGTTTTCTAAACAACAACAAACTAAGCAACTACTACAAACTGAGATGTTTTCCTCCTTTTATAAGATTTTAAAATCACGCGCTAGAATTTTCCAGCACTTTCTCGAAATCAAAAAGAGATATTTATTTATTTAACGCACGCGCTCTTGTATTTTTAATTTTTCCGGCTTAGCTTTCTTTTAATATTCGTCACGCGCTGCACTGCGCGAGAAATAAAACCATTTAATTTATAATTGAACTAACATTAGCTTTTTAAATACCAAATTCGTAACACTGCCCCCTTCCCAAGGACTGCACGTCCCGGGCAGTACAATCCCTGGACAGGAAGCTAAACTTACAACTGTGGCATAAATGCAACTGAGGCATAAACATTACATTACAATATCAAACAACATGAACAATAAATGCAATAACTAACTTAAACAAATCAAATGCTATCAAATACAAATCAAATACTAAATACAAATCAAATCAAAATACACATTTGAAAACAAAAAGGACCATGGTCTTATACTATTTACAATTATTTACATTACGTACTATGGCCATAGTAATGAGCTAACCTGTCGTAATGAACGACTTTAGGTTTAGAGTTCGAAGACTTACGAATCCGAACCACGACATCATTCAGCCTTTTTAGAACTGTATACGGGCCATCCCAAGGTGACTGTAATTTCGGACGAAGTCCTTTCCGTCGAGTCGGATTCCACAACCACACCTTGTCTCCTTCGTGGAACTGATGTTCAGTAGCTCTTGTGTCGTAGCGGGTCTTCATCTTCTCCGTCGCCAAGTTGACTCGCTCTCGTGCAAAGTTGTGCATCACTTCAAACCGGGCCTGGAGATCTTGAATATATCCCTCAGACGATGAAGGAGCATCCGGAGGGCGGCCAAACAATAGATCACAAGGCAGACGAAGGTCACGACCGAAGAGCATCTGTGATGGAGAATAGCCGGTAGTATCGTGGACAGACTGCGGTAAGCCAGTAAAAAGAGTGGTAATTTCTTGTCCCAGTCCTGTTGGTTTCTGGAAACCACTAATGAGAGGTTATTAAGGATGGTTCGATTGAACCTCTCTACCATGCCGTCCGACTGGGGATGCAATGGCGTCGTTTGAGTTTTGTCAATGCCGAGTAGTTTGCATAGTTCTTTGATTACTGCCGAGGCAAAATTCCTTCCCTGATCGGAATGTAACTGAAGAGGCACTCCGAACCTGGAAATCCAGTGCTGTATCATTACCTCAGTTACTGTGACAGCCTCTTGATCAGGAATAGGATGAGCTTCAGGCCACTTGGTGAAGTAATCAACGACAACGAGTATGTATTTGTTGCCATCAGCAGTTCGTGGCAGAGGTCCCAGGATGTCAAAGGCGATACGTTCACAAGGCGCCCCTACGTTGTAACGTTGCAGCTTGCCTCGGCTGCGTCTCTTTGGTCCTTTCCGACCTGCACAGGCATCGCAAAATCGGCACCACTTTTGCACGTCATCCTTTGCATTATTCCAGTAAAAGCGCTCACGAACTCTCTGTAAGGTCTTCATTATTCCAAAGTGACCTCCCGTAGGGCTGTTATGTAGTTCTTTAAGGACATCAGGAATGCGGGATCTTGGAAGTATCAGCTGCCATCGGAACGTCTTCCCATCATCCGATTCGAATTTCCGGTATAAGACGCCCGTTTTCGAATGTGAAGTGAATCCCAGAGTGCCCAATATTGTTTGGTTGTAGGACTACAGATAGAAATGTCCTGCCAGGTAGGTTTTCTGTTTGATGACTCCATTAAATCAATTATGGGTTTAATGTCGCGGTCTTCCAGCTGGTCTTTCCTGACTTCACCATCACTCCACGGTTCTCGATCAGCCGATGTTGATGTTGTAATTTGTCTTGCGACCGGAGTCAGCAGCTCGTATTTCGCTTCCACCCTGGAACAATATCGGCAGCTTTCTGGGCAAGGTCTTCTAGACAGGGCATCGGCGTTTCCGTGTGATGATCCCTTACGATGACGGATAGTGATGTCATATTCTTGGAGTCTC